CATTGTGTTATAAATCATCATACTCTTAAAAGCTATAACCACAAATAAGTAAATATTATAATATATTAAAACTGTTCTTATGAATATTCATGAGATGATACAACATATTATAAGTTTTTTTATAATGCATTATGCATTCATAATAATGCCTTAAGAATACCCTTATAATGTATTATAAATACGGGCTTCATAGAAAGTGTTACCAAAAAAATCTTTCTTAAATTTTTTTTTTAAACATTTTAACTCTAGTGTATTTATTAGAAGACATTTTTTAATGGTAAGCTTCTACTTGCATGAAAACATTTTCTCTTATGGCACTGAAAAAGAGAGATTCCTCCCTACCAGCCCACATCTGTCAAGATTCCCAGCGCCTCAGAAAACCTTTGGTGAACAGAATAAAGACATGCCCTGGAAAAGCGGGAATCTGGAATTTTACAGTTAGGATTTGCAGCATTTAAAAAGCAGAGCGGTGAAGTGAAAGTGATGAGTTTGGGGTAGGTGGACTTCAGATATTTAAGGTAATACTCAAACTGAATATATCAGGGTTTATTTGGATGTTATGGTTATTTTTAGAAATAGTAAAAAGAAATAGAGCTGGTAGTAAAGTACAGAGAACACGTCACCATTCCTTCTACATATATGCTGATAGAGAGATTATATGAGATACATTTAACAGATGGATCGGCCTCTGCTCTTCTCAGTGTAAATTGATACAGCGTAACATAAACTCCAGTTATGGGATCTTGATCGCAGTAGTGTTTCATGTGTGCATGTCTCTGTGTTTATATTCCTTAAACCCTCAGAGTCTGCAGGTTTGAAGTGTGATTACACACACACATTACAGGTAACTGGATCAACATGATGATCATGTTTAAGCATTCAAAGCAGGCAGACCTTATGACCAGAGACAGAGAAATGCTGGGCATCTCACAGGCTCGATTCTTTCAGGCCATGATGAAAGCTCTGTTGCTAAGGAAAGTCGGGCAGATGAGAGACTCTGTGGATGCTTGTGTGCGTGTGTGTGCGTGTGTGTGTGTGCGTGTGTGTGCGTGTGTGTGCGTGTGTGTGCGTGTGTGTGCGTA